CCAAGAAGCTGGGAGAAGGAGTGAAATGAAAAACACTTCACATGGAGTGGGCAGGAGGAGTGGGTGGTGACACAGTGGCTAGAATGCAATATTTGGAGGCTGATGCACATTGCCAGGAGTTCGATCCTGACTGGTTCAAGGTAGACTCAGCCTTCCATCTTTCTAAGATTGGTAAAATGAGGACCCAGATTGTTGGGGGCTATTTGCTGACTTTGTAAAACACTTAGAGAAGCACTATAAAGCGATATATAAGCCTAAGTGTTATTGCTATTCACATATACAGGTAATCTTTGACTTACCTTGACCACAATTGAGCCCAAAATGTATGTTGCTAAGTGAGAAATTTGTTAAGTGAGTGTTGCCCCATTTTACGACTTTTCTTGCCACAGCTGTTAAGTGAATCACTGTGGTTGTTAAATTAGTAACGCCATTGTTAAGTGAATCTGGCTCCCCCACTGACTTTGCTTGTTGGAAGGTTGAAAAAGGTGATCGCATGACCCCGGGACAATGCCCTGGTCATAAATATGAAACAGTTGCCAAGCATCTGAATTCCGATCACGTGATTATGGGGATGCTGCAAAGGTCATAACTGTTGTAAAACGGTTCTAAGTTACTTTTTTCAGTGCCGTAGTAAGTTCAAACGGTCACTAAACAAACTGTTGTAAGTCGAGGACTGCCTGTATACGCAGTAGCTTCTGAAGTTGACGATTCGTGGATACATCATTGCATCTGTTGACGATTCGTGGAGACATCATTGCACCTTTTGACTGCTAAATTTAACAGCTAAACATGGAACACCGGACTTAAGAGGATGGCTATATCAGAGTCCTCGCCTATGGCCAATCCCTTAGCAATCATTCAAAGGTATGACAATCCCCCCCTCCCAAAGGTACTTATGGCCCAATGTTGAAGTTCTGATAGCCAGGGGTTCCTGTAGTCACATGACTGTGTTTTGAACATTTGGCAACCCACATTTACAGTTGTTTACAGTGTTGTGTGGTCACACGACTGCAAATTATGCCAATTTTGCGGAAAACCAACATAACTTCTGGTTTTTAGCAAAAAATGCCCAATAACAAACAATAGGTTTGTCTAGTAGCCATTCACTTAATGACTACGGCATTCACTTAATGACTGCAATGGTTCCCTTTATGGCCATTGCAAAAAAGAGTTTATAAAATCAAGCTGGTTGATCCTGGAGGAGCGCTTTATGACTGTCACGACAAATAACAACCATGATGGACAGTCTCTATTACAGTCGTAAGTCGAGGCCTAGCTGTAATTTCCAAGAACTCCATGGATTGCAGGCTTTATCACTCAGTTCTGGACCAAATCCATTAGCAGAAACTCAACATATTTTAGACATGTGGTGTAGGCTAGAAAAATCAAACTTGTATGGCGGAGTCTCGAGTTCATTTTGTAGAAAAAACGCAAACAATCTTAGGCGAACATCCACTTAGTCCTGGGAAAGGGAAAAGCATCAGAAACATTTTTTAAAAAATAATTCTGCCCTGATTCTCTTTGGCATGACAGGGGAGCGAGAGAAACGTCTACAGGCTTTCAAGATGTTGTGATGCTATCATCCAAGGTTCCGGTATTTCTTGGGGTTACTATTTTCTAGCCTGACCTACAGAATAACAGAGTTGAAAGGGACCTTGGAGGTCTTCTAGTCCAACCCCCGGCTCAAGGAAGAAACCCTATACCAGTGATGGTGAACCTTTTTGCTGTTGCATGTTGAAAGCGCATGCATGCCCCCCCCAATAATGCAATATGTATGCAATGCCCTGCGCTCCCTCCCCCCGTGCATGTGACCCCCCCCCACGCGCATGCATGTATGACCCGCCTGTGCCCCGTTTTGGGCCTAGTAAGCCTCCCTGCAGCCTCCTGGGAGCAAAAAACGGGCAACGGGGGGGTGCTGCACCCCTTCCCACATCCTGTTTTGGGCCTAGTAGGCCTCCCTGCAGCCTCCTGGGAGCATAAAATGGGCAACGGGGGTCTGTGCCCCTCCCCGCATCCTGTTTTGGGCCTAGTAGGCCTCCCTGCAGCCTCCTGGGAGCATAAAATGGGCAACGGGGGTCTGTGCCCCTCCCCGCATCCTGTTTTGGGCCTAGTAGGCCTCCCTGCAGCCTCCTGGGAGCATAAAATGGGCAACGGGGGGCCTGCACCCCTTCCCGCATCCTGTTTTGGGCCTAGTAGGCATCCCTGCAGCCTCCTGGGAGCAAAAACAGGCAACGGGGGAGGGGGAATGCAGCCCCCACCCACTGCACGTGTTCTGCCTCCCATGCATGCACTTCAGAGACCTGAAAATCAGCTGGCCGCCGGGCGGTGTGCGCGCATGCACAGTGGAGCTGAGCTGGGGCGACGGCTTGTGTGCCCGCAGAGACGGCTCTGCTTGCCACCTGTGGCACATGTGCCATAGGTTCGCCATCAGGGCCCTATACCATTTCATGCAAAGGGTTGTCCAATCTCTTCTTAAAAACCTCCAGTGATGGAGCACCCACAACTTCTGGGGACGAGTCGTTCCACTGATTTATTATTCTTTTAAAAAAAAACCAATATTTGAAAAAAACACAAGAGTCTTGGGCAGAGATTTCCACTTCCCTGCCCATATTTTTTGCACTGATGTGGCAGGAAAATTTCAGAAAGGAAACCTCTGCCAGTGGCGACGCTGTTGGCGCCGCCGAACGAGCCGGTTGCTATGGAAACCCTCGCTTTTGTTCCCTAGGAAACAAGTGGAGTTTTCACACACATTGCGGCACCTCTTGTAGACGTCATTACTGGGTTTGGCTTGCCAGAACCAGGGCTGCATTCTTATATTTCTCTGCATCGACACCCTCTGCTGCGTAAGGCCCAGACAGAAGGGCTGAGCTTTAGAAAACAAGATGCAAGGTTGCTAGACCTCATGAATAGACTCCAGTGAAACGACAGAAGCTTTTGTCTGTGAAAAGGAAGGGCTCCTTTTAGGATTCCCACCGATTAGTATAATTTATGCAGGTGTAAGACAGTTATGCAAATCTATGTAAGTATATCTCATCCATAGTGCTGAATTAAGTGTTTGTTTTTGCCTGGCTTCTGCACCAGAGGGTTGATTTTGAATGATAATTTATACCTGTTGGAGGAAGGGAAGTAGAAACCCTGACTCTGACCAATGTTGTTCTTGGCATCTGTTGCATCATGAGCTTTTCGGTCTCCTTGCAAGTAATAGAAAAGGCACAAATATACCCAGGACCTGTTTCACCGAGTATTCTGCAAGTATATCAGATTCAGAAGGCATTTTTCTGAAGGGGTAAAAACCAGGAGAATTTCAATGTGCTGCTGCTTGGGCTGATTTTCTCCGTGTAGAAGAAAAGGAAAAGGCAGCTGGGTGACTTTGAGCCAGCCTCCGTCTCACAGCCCAGGAAGGCGGACAATGGCAATGTTAATTAATGCTGTAAACTGCCTAGAGTCATTTTGAAACAAGAAGGCTGGCAAATAAATGTACTGTATTAATAAATAAATAAAAATAATAAACATTATAAATAGATATAGACAGATGGTGGATGGATGAATGGATGGATTGATGATAGATAGATAGATAGATAGCAATAGCAATAGCAATAGCAATAGCAGTAGACTTATATACCGCTTCATAGGCCTTTCAGGCCTCTCTAAGCG